TGGTTGTTGCTTCTGCTGGCAGTAGAGCTGGGTTAGGTAAACCTTGTATCCCCTCTTCTCTGATGGCCTGACTATTTGATGCTCTCAGCCCAATTTAGCCTATCTCAGCCTATCTTTGGGCATGGATTTCTTTTCTGTCTGTATTTCTTAGAGAACTGAGCCAAAACTACTACCTGTGTGTCTGTAGACTTGTGTGCACCTGTCCATTTGAACAACCCTCCTGGAAACTTTTGAACTCACTGTTTTAGCTAAATTTCATGGAGGAATAGAATTTTAAAAGATACTAAGTTCCTACAACTTTTCTAAAATAAATGTGCAGAGGAGAAAATAATTTTGTCCTAGGGAAAGGTACCATCACAAACTCTCCTTTTATTAGGCACCTGTAATAAACAGGGAAGAAAGACTTTCTGAGGCATGGGACTATTGGAAAATCATCCTTCAAAGCCTGGATAAGCACCAGTGGTAACTGATTCTGAGACACAAGTCTGTAGTTTTGTTTTTCAGGGTTTTCTTATTTATTTAGCCTTTTTTTTTTTTGTTTTAATAGAAAGGTTATAAAAAATTTGTATCAAAGCCAAAAAGCATTCTTTCTCTTAAAATTGGAGGAATATTTTTGCAGTCCTTCAGCTTTTCTTTTTCTTTGTACTAAGTGTTAGTCAAAGACTTGCTGATGTGAAATGTTAGAAATTGCAGGAACTGGTACTTGCAGAAAAATGCAGACTCTAAGGCAGTAGGTGAAGTGAGAGTGGCAGGTGATGGAAAAGGTGACCAACTGAAGGAACTGGATACGTCTTTATCTCCTGTCAGACACCAGCTTGCCAAGAAGTTGAAAACATTGAATAACAATCATCTTTGTTTCTTGGTGGATTGTTATTATAAAATGCCTGAAAATTTTATGTGGAAGAGGTAATTAAACATTTAAAAAAAATCTCAAGATCAGGACAGTGCCCAGTTTTCCTTCCCACATATGCTGTTTCAGGTTCCTTCATTTCTTATTTCATAATGAGATCTTAGGACTGGGGGTTTTTGTCACAATATCTGTGCTGTCATTTTTCCTAGAGCTGAATTCAGCCATTACTAGAATCAAGAATTTGGCTGTGTATGATCTAGTGGGATCAAGCTTCCAGTTCAGTACAGTAACCTTTCCTCTGACTCTGAACCCACTTTCATGTTTTACACCTGTACTGGGCTGAACCTGGCTGGACACCAGGTACTCACTGCAGCCACTCTCTCACTCCCCTCTGCAACTGGACAGAGGAGAACAAAAAACAGCGAAGGATTCATGAGCTGAGGTAAGAGCTGGGAGAGATGACCCACTGATCACCATCATGGGCAAAACAGACTCAAAGTGGGGATATTAATCGAATTTATTACAAACAAGATCAGAGGAAAAGAGTGAGAAGTAAAATTATCTTAAAAGAACCTTTTCCCCACCCCTCCTTCCTTCCAAACTCTACCTTCTCCCCCGCAGCAGTGCAGGGGGACAGGGAATGGGGATTACAGTCAGTTGTTGTTTCTGCCCCTGCTAAGGGAGAGGAGTCCTTCCCCTTCTCTCATGGGGTCCCTTCCACAGGAGACAGTCCTTCACAGGCCTGTCCAGCATGAGTCCATCCCTCGGGCAATGACTCTTCCCAAACTGCTGTTCCATGGGTCACTCCTGCATGGGATGCAGTGCTTCATGAATGAGTTGTAGTGGCATGGGTCCCCCATAGGGACCACAAGTCCTACCTGGGATAAACCTGCTCCAGCATGGGCTTCCCTTTCCACAGGCTGCAGGTCCCCAACAAGACCTGTCTCCATCTTGGGCCTCCCATGGGGTCACAGCCTCCTTTGGATATCCACCTGCTCCAGCAGGGTCTTCACCATGGGCTGCAGGGGCCTCAGCTCTGGTGCCTGGAGCACCTCCTGCCTCTCCTTCTGCACTGGCCTTGGTGTCTACCTTGTTGTTCACGTGTTCTCACTCTGCTCTTTCCTGACTTGAATTCTTCTCTATGCAACAATCTTCTGGTCTTAAATATGTTGTCACAGAGGTGTTACTATCACTCCTGGTTGGCTCGGCCTTGGCCAGCGGCAGGAAGTTTGTCCTGGAGCTGGCTGGCATTGGCTTCACCAGACAGGGGAAGTTTTTAGCAGCTTCTAACAGAAGCCACCCCTGTAGCCCCTCACACCCCCCCACTACCAAAACCTAGCCACAGAAACCCACTACAACACCTAATGGACGAGCAACCTAACAGGAACAGACATTTGGAGAAAAAAAAGTAAATAGTGTAAAAATGTCCTTCTGAAGCTGTGCTCTCTTACACAAACAAATGTTTTCTTCTAGCCTTGAATCCTGTCTCCAAAGGTTTTAAATGTGGGTGTCTAAGGAAAGAGTGAACAGAGAGGGCAAGGAACAGTGATGCTCTTCCATGATTTGTGGTTGTGAGATATCCTGAACCAGAGATTAAGTCTTTGTATAATTATATAATGCTATGAAAAAATCCAGCTGTAAAGGAATATCTTTTATTTGCATACTAAAACATTAATTAATTATCCCTGCAATTCTCCTGTACTTGCCAGGAAAGAGCTGTTTTATTTCCCTGGTGGAGGTAATCGATTACCACATAACAGGCTAAGAAATACCAGAACAAGAAAGAAGCATGCAGCAAATGTGCAGGTGGGAAACTTTTGCTACTATCTGTAGTAGATAACAGTTTATTTCCATGCAGACTAAAAGCTGTGAGCAGTCTTAACTTGTCTACAATATTCATGCATCTTTTGCATAAACTTAGGCCAGTTTTACAGTTGGCCTGATTTGTGGGTACTTAGGGAATGTAAAATCATGGTATTATGTGGTCTTTGTGTGGAGGAAGTGCAGAGCTTCACTTGGTGGTTCAAGCTTATAAGAACTTCATGCTTAGGCTGGAAGGCTTGAGGTGCATGTTCCCACGCTGCACGCAACCAAGGGAGGGTTTCACGCTAACCTTATCTTCATACAGCTGTAATAGACAGGTCATCTTGAGGGGCTGCAGAAATTGTTTCTCAATAGCTCACAGGTTATTTTTGAAACTCAATCCATCTAATTTCTTTAATGGCATAGGCAGCAATTGACATTATGGAACATTGTGGAGTTGCAATACAGTATGCACTAGCTTTTACTATATTAAATAGCTCATTTTAACTCTGTCTTAAAATGGAATCCTTCTGCATCTTTCATTTAATGTTCATTACATAAGAAACAACCATAAACCATGACTTTAGTCCTTGACCCAGTGGAAAGCATATTGAATACATATCTTTCTTCGTAGCGGTCCTTGGCAATAACAGGTTTAATTTAGTGAATTTAGAGTTGAAGTTTATTCCTGTATGAGTCATAACAAAGGCTTCATGTTCTCAAAGCCTTAAAAGCCTTTTCACTACAAAAAAAAAGAATTTCCTAGATTAAAATAGTTGATCCAAAGCATAGGAACTTCTTTATCTACTGTATAGATCTTGCAGTAGATCCACTTAATGCTACAGGGAGAAATAACATAGTCAGATGAAAAGTGGTGAAGTAATAGAGAGTAAAACTAAGAAACTCCATGTTTTCATCTCTTACGTGTATTGTTAAAAGTCAGTTATTTTTCCAATGATTTTAAAAATTTCAGTAACTTATTGCTTCAGGTCAATTCCATAGACAAAGATCTATGGATTGAATGGAAATGGCTTAAGCAATCAGCATGATATTTTAAACTCAATTTGCAAACCAGAGTTCAAGTTAAAAAAAAAACAACAAACAAACAAAAACAAACAAACAACAGCAAGAAAAATTATAAAAACTCCAAGAAGCCACTGGTTTAAGAATTACTTCAGTCACACAAGGGCTCAGCAGCTGCATCCATGTTAGGTAAGACACTTACTGTTTTGGAATTTGTTGTCAGCAAAATTTATAAAAACAGCTATATGACAATGCTTTAGCAGATTTTTGTCCAATAACTCTGCAGTCTTCTCCTCTCTTTGAAATGGAAGTCTACCAGATGAAATTGGCCAGGTTGTACTGTCAGCCTGCCTAGTACTGAGTCCTTGAGTTGTAGTTTCCTTCAAATACATTGGGCTGTCGTCTCCTCTTGCTCTTCACCTCTGTGTACTTTTTAAGACCATTTGTTAAGTAAAGAATTTAGAATCTCATGTCTGCAACACAGCATGTGAGGCTGCTGTACTGTTGAACTAGCTTTTTGTATACTGGGTTTTTTCTTACCAAGATTGGATGACGTTGCTTCCACTAAAAGGTTGATTCACTTCAGTGATTGACAGGAAGGTGACCAGGAGATTTGAAAGCTTCAGAACAGAAATCCCTTTACTAAAACAGGCTTGTTCTACTTTTTACAAAATTAGCTCCTCCAGCTCTATCAAGGATTAACATTTTTTTGCAACTCAGAAAATGGTGTACAAAAAAAGAAATTCTTCGTGGTTCTATTGACAGCTAGCAGTACCAAAGTAGATTATGCCATTAATTAGAAGAAAAGTAACACTTGCAATATGGCTTTAGTGATGTATTTTTACTATGTTCAACTGTTGAAATATAAGATCAGAACCTAACTACCTACGTGTTAAAATGGCGAGCATTTACATCTTCTATCAGTTTAAGTACTGGTGTGATTTTTTTTAACAGTTTCTTCTCCCTTAAATTCCAATAATTCAAAGAATTTCCATGTCAGAGTTTTGCCCACTGATCTAGCAGCAGTATTTCTGTAGAAATACAGGTATGTTTTACTTATGTCCACAATGGAAGGCTAAGGGTCTGAATAACCAGTGATAAATGTGCTGCTTTAGCACTCTCCTCATTCTCACCTTGTCCTCCAGCACAGCCAGCAAAAGTAATACTCCTTATAAGATCTCCACTGCTTGCCAACATGTATGACAGAAATTTAATGTATATCCACAGTATCTTTAGCAGAAATAATTTTTAAGTGATGAAACTCTACCAACCGCAGATCTCAGGAGTAAGGATGTTTTCATTCTATCAATCTCTTTCTTTACAGGCTCACAGAGAATCCTAAAGTCCATTCTAAGACCAAAGGGATTTCAACCCTGATGAGTAAATAGAGAAGAGATTCAAAGACAAGGGGCTTCAAGATGCTGTTGATTCTGTATGAACATGAAGGTAAGCATTATCTTGGCATTATCATTGAGTTTTTGTGTTCCCTACTTCGTCCTTTCATTTTCTAGAACAGAGAAAGATGAACATGTCCTCAAGCAGTGGCATTCTCAATAAAGCAGATCTCCTTGTCTCTTGTCGACCATTTATTTCTTTTCTGCTTAAAATGCCCACACTCTTTTCAATGCATATTTATATTTAGAAGGTAACATTTCATTATGCCTTATAAATAGCTATTTTATCTCTGAATAGATGTAAGATAATATGTATAGGAACACACTGTTTCTGTTCTTCCACTCATTTTTAGTACATAAACAGATCTGGCCATCATTTTCTTTGAAAAGGTTATTCAAAGTGTCCTTCTCAAGATATTTCAGGCCTTAATTTTGAAAATACCCTGGTGGACTTGCCTTCAGAATCTTTATTGCTCTCTTCCCCATGTAAAAGTCACTCATGTGGACAAGTTTTCCCTGTTTTTCCAAGTTTCCTTAATATTCCAGAAAGATGGAGCAAGTAGTGGTGGGAGTTTGCAGATGAGGAGTAAACAAGGAATTTCTGGCACCTGATGTTTGAGAAGGAATTCTGAGGATTAATTAAACTATGAATTCTCTGATAGAAAGGTACTCTGGCTAGGTTTTTCTATGGGCACAACTTCAAGCCTCGGTTTTATTATCTGCAACCATTTTGATCTAATTGCTGAGAAAATACAGGGAAGACTCCTAATGACACAAACCCAAGGAAATATATCACTAGAATAAGAACATTGAGATTTACGTTTAGTCTGAAATGCCACCCAAAGATGATTTTCCAAAGGCTTTCTGGTTCTCTCTTGGAAGCCTTTCAAGCATTTGTTTCCCCTTGGGACTTCTAGAATTTCCCTGTTTAGACTGGAGGGTCTCTGAAGCAGAGGCTGTTTTGATAAACTGTGTGTACAGCACCTTGCACAATGGACCTCTGATCACAGCCTGCATCTCCATGTTATGGCAATGCAAATAAATATACGAACAACTGTCCTTGAACAGGAAGGAAAATAAAAATCGGATTCCCTGGAGAGTTGACGCATATATGGTAACCAGTCTCTTATCATAATAATGTTGTATTTATTGAAATCCAAGATTTAGTAGACGTTCAACTTTCTTGGCATGGCAGAAGTAACTCTCCCATTTTGTCTTATATCCCTTGTGCAGAAGTTTTTGCTTGTTTGCTTTCTATCCTGTTTTGCCTGACACTAGGGGAGACTTTGTTTTACTAACATTTGTAGCCGTCACTTTGATCTGCAACAGGAAAGCTCCAGATTGGCTTCTTTGCCCATGGGGAAACAAATGAGATCAGAATATGCCAGTTTTAAAAACCTCAGTGGACTGGCTCTAGAAGAAATAGTTCTTGTTCCTTAGCTAATTGTGAATTACTTCTTTATTTTTTACAAAAAACACTATGTTTTCTACACATGGTTATTCATTTGTGAAGGCTGGAGGCTGATTTCTATTTATTCCTGACACATATGAGGTTGTTTGTTCCTTGTAAATAAAAGAAATATTATAGTTTCCAAAGTCTTTCATTTACTGCAGGTTTTTGTACTTGCTTGTTTTCTAATGTTCCTCTCTCCTAGGAAAATTGTCACTCTTGACAAGTACTTTCAAAAACATATGTCGTTATAGACCAGGGTAGTGTAATATCAGATGGGGTGTGGGTAACAAAGGGTTCCCTTCGGTTCAACGAGCACTGTGCAATTGCACCAGTGATCATGACTAAGCTGAATTCAGACCAGCTTCCCTCTTCGCTAACGAGGGAGGAAGGGGGATTTATCCAAGGCATTTTGGAGAATCAAAGAGGGGAACACCAGAGTAGCAGATGAAGGCCATGCCAAATCTGTCAGTGTCTCCTGCCACAGCGTTTGAGGATGGTGGTGACAGGGGAGAGAAGCACTGGCAACCATGTTTTGCTCTCGGTGTTCAGCCTTTGGAGCAAAGTGTACTCCATCACTTGCTCTGGGATTTTGTAATCACACAGGAGAGGCTCAAGTAAGGGTGTCTCTGTTACTTACTGAGTCTCCTGGTGGGTGAAAAAAGTCTGGATAAAAGTCTGAATGTACTAAACTGCCAGGCTTTTTGGTAATAGCTGCAAGTGACTGGGTATTGCAGCACATCTTAAGGAAAAGGTGACCGTGTAGCCCGCTATAAAGGACTGACTTGTGCAAGGCAATGTGGTGACTCAGCCATATCCCCTGCACACCCCTCTGCACTCAGTTAGACCTGCTAGGCTCTTCCCTGTTTCTGCTTGTTTGCACTAGAAAGAGAGGGAAAAGTCTGCCCATGTTCCTCCCCCGTTACACTGTGACTGTTCAAGGGAGTCTGGAGTTTCGTGTGATAGGTGCGAATGGCTGGAGAAGGATCTTCCTCGTTGCCAGCTTCCCCCTTGCAGATGTTTCTTCCTTGCCTCTCTGTGTGAAATGAGCAGTTTGCAGGAGTATAGAAAATTCTAGGCCCTATAAGGACTCAGCAGGTACTGGGAAGAGTTTTACAGGAATACGTATTTAAAGTTGAAAACAAGTTTTCTTTGACCTTTTTCATGCCCTGTTTGTGCTTGTTTGCCCCTGTTGTTCATGTTGGTGCAATTTCAGGCTGGGGGGTATAGGAGTGGTCATAGAATAATAATTAAGTTCGAGTATTTGCAGCAAGGCTTTTCATTACCACCAGAGAAGTGACTGATTGTAAGAGAGAACCTTAAGGCATTGTGAAAGCAAAACAAAACAGTTATGTCCAGTCAGAACAACTCCAGTTTTAAATTTAGCTTATAACAATCCTTACAAAGTGTTCAGTCATTACTAACAAAATGATGTAATAGATAGTTTTGCTTGAATAAATATGAGAACTCTGGAGTAGATGTCTGACAGCAATAATAACTTCTCTTTTTTATTCTGTTTTCATCAAATGTTATCATGTTGAACATTAGCTAGCTACCAAGACAGTTTATGATTATAAAAAGAAGAGCTTCTTTATCCCATCACAGGAAAAAAAAGGAAGTTATCCATAATTCTTTTCACAGTCTATGGACTATATAATATAAATGGTTGAAGTGAAGCCCTCTAAGATGGTACCTTTTGGTCTTCTTTCTCCCAAAGCAAGTGCCAAACATTTAGATTTTTGTTGTGTTGGGAAACTTCAGAACATACCCACATAACTTACTCAGAATAAGAAATGTGTCATTTTTCTTTGGAAGAACGTTGTACTTGCTGGCAAACTTTGTCCTGAACAAACATTGTGAAATTTTGACTAGGGCAGCCATTCAAGAATACCTCACAACTTTGTTGATTAGTGGGAGATTCCTATATTTGCACAGTAGTTTCTAGATCGAGACAGTTCCTTTCAAGAATGAGGATATTTTTGAAGGTACCTTTAGAAAATCTATCTAAAAATTCTAACTACTCTAATTCTAGAATCCAGAAAACAAATAAACCAGCTGTTAAGGAGTGTGGCTGGCAGGTACCAGCGAGTTAGATGGTAGCGTGACATTCACATGAACTTCCTGTAGATAATTCAGCCTTACAGCAAATCCTATAATTCTCTCCTCTTATCCATCTCAAATATTGCAATTATTGCAAATATGACTTGGCTATTTCATGAGGCATTAATCATCTTTATCAGATATTTGGCTTTAGAAATTATTTTGTAATGTTGTTTACTTTGTTACTCAGAGATGAGTTATTGCAGAATAGTAGTGTTGGCCATGGGAAAAGGCTGAAAGGAGGTAAAAGGCTTTATCCTTTACATTAAGAAACAATTGTAGAATGATTATGTGGCTAGGTGTGCACTTTCAGAGGCAGCTATGCCTACTCCTTGCTATCAAACAGTGAATAACGGTTCCATGGTTTGCTGCTAAGTTTGGTTTTCCATCCGATTCTCCTTTCTAGCAAAGTCAGCACACCTCTAACGTGTGACTTCATTGGGGAAAGCAGTGCCTACCAGGTGAACTTTCTACAAAAAAAAAAAAAAAAGTAATATGACTTATGACTTGGTCTCTTGCGTCTTGTATCCTTGTTGAATCCTAATGCTGGGCTTGAACTGGGGGCAGATGCAGTACAAATCCCCATTGTTCAAATCCCAGCCAGAGTCTATGCCCTGCTTGCAACTGCAAGGTTGCTTAATTGAATTTAATGAGGTTGTCCACGTACAACACAGTTGGCAAGTAGTTGCCAGAAGCCTCTGATGAGTTCTTCTGAAGTTCTAGTCCATAGGGCTAGCTTTTTGTAACCATGACTGGGTCTGGCTACTGTATAGCTTCTGTGTAGAGGGTATTGTAAAACGTGATTTCCCAGGGGAAAACCAACCCAACTCTGCTCTTGAAGCAAGCTATTTAGCTGACATAGAAGAGCTGTCCAGACTTTTTCCCTGATATCCCGATTTACGCTTGCAGTTCAGCATGTTACATCAAGTTAATATCTCTATCAGCATGTGGGTGGAGCATCCTCTGATTTTTGATTTTTTGCTGCAATTGAATAGATGGGCATGTTGCAGCCCAGTTGCATTTAACATTACTTTTTATGTAGCATTCATGGCTGAGATGTCCAGCAGTGAATTGACTTCTAGGAGAGTGTGGTTTATTCTCCATAGCCACACAGTCCTCCAGCAGTGTATGGAAGCCGTGAACTAGACAGTGAAGCTGAATCAGCCTCTTCTTCAGACTGCACTCCTTCCCCACACTTGCCCCACTATGGATGAGTGTCTGAAAAATTAATTCCCCAACAATTCCTCCACAGATGAAAGTGGTACTAAAACACCTTAAAAATAAAAGGAATCATTGTTCTTATCCTCTGGAGATTAGTTATTAACCTGTGTGATAGGTACAGACTAGAAAACACAAGTGTTTTAAGCTTGACATGTGGTTAAACTGTGAATACAAAGTATGGTGGTTTGGTTTTGCTTTTTTAGAAATGAATTTTATCTAATCTTATTGATATTCCAGAGTTTAAGAGTAGGCACAGAGAAGTGAGAAGCATATGATCTGTAG